AAAGAGAAACATACGAGATGGAAGAGAATCTAGGTTCAAATCTGATCACGGGATTTGTTGATTGAAATAAAATGATAAAATAAGACGCACTTTGCTTGCGGCTTCACTTCAAACTCTTCATAAAGAAAACATATGGGGACAAAGATAACTAATAAAGCAAAGCACGGATTGTACTGCTTTCAAAGGTTTCCGTAGCAATATGCTTTTCTATCTCTTGTTCTTGTTAATAATGGAGCTTTTCATCATTTTTATTCTGCTTAAACTCATAGAGATGCTTATTCCATACTTTTAAATTTTTGTTGAATATTCATTCTCCAAAAAATAAAAATAAAAAACAATTTTGTTGAATATTTGGATTATTTTTTCTTTTATTAACCCAAATTTTTTTTTTTTAGAGAAAATTTGAATCTTAACTATAATTATTTAGTGTCGAATATAGTTTTATTCTTTAAAAATTTTTAAAGTATCAATAAATACAGTGTATAACTCATTGTTAATGTATGTAACTTTTGTAATCACGTGTCTTCAAAATTTTATATGATACAGTCAAATCTATAAAAATTCAATTAAAAGGACTTTCAATAGCAATATTTGAAAAAATATAATCAAAAGTTGAATTTGTTACAGTGAACCGATTTTATATCTATTCATATTTTGAATTTTTTATAATTATAAATTACCTTAATAAAAATAATAATTATCTACTAAATCAATTCACAAAGTGTAAAAAAAAAACAAAAAAAGACTACTCATTTATGAAATAGGATGGGCAACTTTATTAATAAACCAGCATGGATTCTAGTATAATGGCAAATCCATGATGAATTATTTATGAAAGACAACTGAAAAAACAACATATGACTCGAGGAAATCAGGAAAAGATAACATAGGAGATTAATGCAATCAAGACAGAATCTAGTTCTGATCTTTAACATAATAATAATAAGACAGCACCTTTGTTTCTAAGTTACTTCTTCCACTTTTGTTCCTGAACGTGACCTCACACTCAACCAACTGAAAAGGCCAACACGGAATTGTACTTATTTCCAATGACCTCCGTATAACCAACACCCAGATGCTTTTTAGAACTAATTCTATGCTTTGATGAGAGCCAGATAAGGGAAAGAAGAAAGAAAGAAAAATAAAATAAGAAGACTATCCATGGAGAGAATAATTAAAGGAAATTCATTGTTGGAGAATTGTCGACAGCAAGGACAAGATATAAGTGATCGTGATGGATGTGAGTTTAGGATTGAGATTCTAAATTCGGAGTTGTAATAATTTTTTATCACGTAAAAAAAATTATTACGAATGAAAGATAATAACTCATTAATTTAAATTTTATCTTGATTATGGAAATCTAAGAATAAAATTGTTTGGTTTTAATTTATTTTATCGAAACAAAATGATGGGTACTTGAATAGATGGATGTGAAAGTAAAATAATATAGTTGGGAATTTTTCTTTAATGCATGAAGTAAGCTTAATGAAAAGAGAATCTAGTTCTACTCTTAACCTGTTCTAGTTTTAACCTTGGCTTATACAATTAAAATAAAGTAATCTTAGATTATATTCTAAAACTTCATAACTATTTCTTTAATCAAAGAAATGATGAAATAGTTTTTTATTTTAATGAGTGCATGGCAGCAACATCTGCCAGCACAAGAGGTTTAGCTGTGATTATACTGATAAAAAGGATCTTCATAAAATATATGTTGAGAGACTTTTAAAAAGAAGTTGAAGTTCCTTAATCATCTGCTTTTAATCCTCTTTTGGTGCTAAATTTATGATATTAATTATTCTCAAAGATGTGACGTTTTGGCATAGCCAGCATCAGAATGTGCTCGCTAGTTGTTACTGCTTAACTATGTGGATTCTTTTTTCCTTTTTGGTGGGTTGTTGTCCTTCATTGTTGCTTTTACTGCTGGGGAAAACATTGAATTGATTGAGTCTGGGGTGTCTGGAACTCCTGTTCTTGAATTTTTCCAACCAATAAAGCAGGGATGCTCATTTTTCATGCAAAATTGGTTCATTTTATTGATAGGTAACATCATAATTAGGGTTTACTTTGCATTGGTCACAACCTAAATTTTCACACCTTGATCTTCAATCTAAGGCTCCAGATTTAAGAGCCTTCTCGTTTGATGACGACTAAAAGGACAAAGACTAAACAGTAGGAATTAAGGGGGTCTTCTCATTTGATAAAGACTGAAAATACTCAGAAGGAAATTAGCAGAAAGGGGTCACTAGATTGTGCAAAGTAGCTTTACTTGTTGCACATGCCGAACCAAAATTTCCATGGACATCATCCAGGTTCCACAAGCCATCCCAAAGAATTTCTTCATTCGAGGTATCACTTCCGGAAACATTGCCATTGATCATGGGGTAGAAGAAGCCTTGTTCCTCTGTTGTGTTGGGGTATGCAGTGGCCATTTCTTGCCTCAGCTGTGGCACATATGGAGCTCTATGCTCATTTTCATCAAGCAGGGACATGATCCTTTTCATGTCAAATTGATTCAACTGTAACTGTTGCTGTTGCTGTTGCTGCTGCTGCTGCTGCTGCTGTTGTTGCTGCTGCCGTTGTTGTTCTTGTTGTTGCAGTAGCTGCTGCTGCTGAAACTGTTGCCTTTTCAGCAGACGAGCTTTTGCCTTATCAGAGTTATCTGGTGATAGTTTAGCCTTTTTCTTGAAATGGGTCCTCCAGTAGTTCTTGATCTCATTATCAGTTCTTCCAGGCAAGCTTCTTGCAATTGTTGACCACCTGAAATTTGTTGTTTCCATCTTCCTAAGTAAACAAGTTCCTATTATATGAATAGAAAATTTGCAAACTTCAGACCAAGCTGTGATCAGATCATTACCTGTTTCCCCACCTTGCATGAAGCTCAAGGATTATACTCTCTTCATGAGGGGTTATTTGCCCCCTCTTAAGGTCTGGCCTCAAATAATTCACCCATCTCAGCCTGCAGCTCTTTCCATTCCTTTTTAACCCTGTACAGACAGAGCATTAAAAGACAGATTATATGTTTATTCAAAGGATAAAACATGCCTAGATAATGAAATTCTTGGCAATCATTGAATCACCCAAAAAAGATAAAAAAAGAACATTTATAAACCGAATAAAAAACCCCATCTGCAGTAAAGTGGCTCTCCTAAAAGTCCTAATTAATAAGCTGGATTCCTTTCCGCTTGATGCATTTATTACCTTGATCAAATGCATTGTTTTCTAACCTTCATGCCAAAGAGAAGCTGGCACATAAAAAAAGCTAGTGCTAAGTTGGAGAGTAAGAGGACAGACATGGTTTGTGCTACTACTTGGCTTACCTGCAAGCCTAGCTACAGAGTTCCATCTGCCTTCACCATGTACCCTGACATACTCAATAAGCAGCCTATCTTCTTCAGCCGTCCAGGGACCTTTCCTCCACCCCTCTTCAATAATACCCCAACCCAAGTGTCCAGCCATCACTGCCCAAGACATGTAAAAGGGGCAAAGAGAAAGAAAGAAAAAAGCAAAGCTATACCTTTGATAAATGCTTTCAGGTGAAGTTTTTTATTTCTGTTTTTTTCTGTATAGCAAATTCTATGCCATCTGGGGGTTAGTGTGTCACATATTTATATATGCACTGAAGGCCCCCCGCTGGCTTCACCCCCGTCAGTCATTTTCAAAATTATCCCCATCTTTTCTCTGTGTTAAGGTACACAGCTGATCTCTTTAAGATACCATCATCATCTCTCAAATGACCCATGTAACCTCCCCTCCTCACCCCTTGTCATCCCAATTGACAACTAGCTGTCACCGTTTTTCCAATTCAAGAAAGTGGTCCTCGTGCCTTTATTCAGACAACTTCATACTTAAAATCACAAAAGGAATGAAATTTAGGGTGTGAAAAAGGCAAAATATCTCATTCTGAACTGCCAATCACAAAATTTTACACGTAAACTTGTTGGAAAACAGGAAGGAAATTGGAACATAAAAGTTGTGGTTACCATGAAATTGTGTAAGGGATATTGAAGTCAATTACCATTGAATTGCAAGAACAAATGGGAATGTCAAGGCATTGGGTGACATGTTCTGAGAAGGACCATTATCCAATTAGCATATATTTGTTTGATGCTAAAGAGGAACAAAAGGAAACAGGAATCTCATGGCTTTATGCCACGTATAAGCTAGGGCTTACGCACATTGACACTAGGAATTAATAGCTCTCACAAAGCATAGTTTAAGAAATAGGACATAATTTAAAAAATAATATAAAGTGGGTGGCCAATTTTTTTCTTTTTTTTCACGTGAAAATTACTGGACTACCAATGAATATTTACCAGCTGTTGGATTTGCTTACTTCTTAAGGAGATTGATTCATGTAATCTCCATTAAATCTTAATTAAATAAAATTTGTTGGATTCCATATTGAGGATTGGGAGCATTAAAATTTCTGAACGTCACCATGGACAGGTGGTCTCTTCTAGATTTTCATTCTGGAAAAAGACAAGTTTATTTTGAGCCAGGGAGTGCATAGAGTTCCGTGCCCTTCAACCTTGAGTTGCCATAACATCTATAGGTTACACTAATCTTCATATATAAATATAAATTTTGTGTAGCATTATATAATGGGTGCAAAAGATATGTTCAAAAGTCACTTAAACTTAGTTCAAGTATTAAGAATTGAAGATGATATAAAATTTATATAAAAATTTTATATTCAAATCGTAATATCGAAAGGCATAATTCGATATATATGTATACAAAATTTCAAACAAGATAAAGAGAGATTTTTGTTCCGACAGCTACCAATTACCTAATGGTATGAAAAATATGTACTCCACTTGTTATTTTATTGTAGTTACTTTACTTAATTAATCTGTTTAGTCTCTAATAACTTGTATTAGTACGGATTTTAACACTAAAAAAAAGAAGGGGCTC